TAGACCATGGTATTACAGTCCACAGGAGACTAAACTATTATGTGCCACAGGCAGAGAATAGGAGGGACCGAGATGCACCAATGCTCAAGGTCCCTTCAATGTCAGGAAATGAATTAAGTGAGATATACCCAGATGAGCCTGGCAAGTGACCAGCACCCACATGCTGCAGAGGAAGGGGAAAAAATCCCATCATCACTGCCAATCTGACCTTGGTAAAAATTCCTCTCTGATCCCACCTCTGACAATCAATCGGTTAAATAGTAACCCTGAGGTAAGATTCATTTTTCAACATGTTCAGTTTCACAGAATCTGAGCTATCAGAGATGGACAAGACCTAGCAGATCATCTGCTCTGTCTACTGCTGACAGTACAGGGTTGTTCAGTGATGCTCATTATCCAGTACTTCATATAGTCTAACGAATGTCTCATGTGCTTGGGCTTCTCAAACTATCCTGGGGAGAGTATTCCACAGTCTAGTAGACCTATATATCTACCTACTTATATGCCCCCATCACCATGGTATGAGACTCCCAAGTATTTACAAACAGAAATAACAATCGCTATCTTTTTTCCCAGTCTGTAGGAGAAATAGCTTAATTTGTGTATGTGGAGTTAGGGGAGGGAGGTAGGGGGTACATGTACATGTAGGCCCTATTAGGGGAAAGCCAATTCAAAGGCATAAGTTTTACAGTTAGTTCTGAATGCAGCAATGCCTGATGCTTGAGAAAGACAGTGAAGGACGGGTAAGCTATTTTCTCTTTCTCAATGAGCCCCATTTATTTACTTTCTAGGAATTGAAATTCATACTGCTAAGAGCTCTGTGACTTGATACGTACACCTTGTGCCAATATAAGGGGGGGAAAAAACAAAATAAAAAAGCCTCATTGAATGCAAGATCAGTGGTCATTCGAGGTGTGAAATCATGTCTACTGGTAGTGTTTCAAATGTGTAGTTTATAGCATTGCAAAACTGGGATTCCCAGTTTCCTCATCTGTTTCTACCCTTTCACGTTGTAAGACAATGGCCTTTAAAAACAGAACATTTTGATTACCATCAGACATATTTTTCCCAGTCTACATTAAATAATTTTATTAGCTGATCTCATAAAACTGTCAGACTTTGAGATTAATTTCCAGCCCCCAACAGTTGACAGTTCACATTTCAAGATCTTCTGGACAATATAGGGACTGATCCAATGCCCAGTAAAATTGATGGGAGCTGGATGAGGCCCACAAAGCTTTGGTTACAAGCTTTGAAAGGAAAAAAAACCCTAAATACCAATGACACCAATGTGGTAAGCAGAGTGACTTGATATTAAAATATGATCTCTCAGTGCCTGCCAGGATTTGGACCAGTAAACTCTTCAAGGGCTAGTCCTGGACCGGTGAGTAGAAAATTGTTGATCCCTCTCACATATCTTACTATTTTATGTCCTGGTTACGGTGCTGAATGTGGATGGAGGCAAGTCCAAGAAGCCAGTTTCACATACTAGTTACTTCTTTGGCTCCTGAGTATTATCATTGTGCAGGGTACTCAGGCAAGTTGAGTTACCCAACTGCATGCAGTTAATGCAATTTGGTAGTACCCATGGATTTACAGATGGACCTTGTACACCAAAGTGATAGATCCTTATGTGCATGCAGTATGGTGAAGTCTAATTCTACGACCACATACTATTGTTCCTATGTGACCCCGCCTCATGCAACACACAGGATGGACACACAAGAGAGCAGAATGAAGGTTGCGTAGGCAACAATAAGTCTGGCAGTATTTTTAACTTTTGAGTGCTTGACTTTGCTAAATAAATAAATTATGTAACTCTTTTCATGTAGTGGGTTTGGGGGGGTGGTGAGTGAAGTTATTTGGGTTGCAGCGTGGTTAAACAGCTCAAACTACAGGTCTACACTGACGTCCATGTTATCCTTTGGCACTTATGATTGCTGATCATTGTCTGACGCTTCTGAGATGGCTTTCGAAAAGAAACACTTAGGTTTGATGTGTTCCCATGCAGAAATTCAGGCATAATTTTACTAAGTGTTGCTGTTCCTTTGCCACCCCAAGTGTAGGTGTCAGATGTCACTCTAGGGTTCTGGGCTGGAAGGAAACTTGCAATAGCCCCTAAGTCTGCACACGGTGTCACTAGGGCAATTGTCACAGATCCATCTTCTAGGTACAAGAACAGACACAAGCAAAACGTAGGTGTAAAGGGCAAGAACATTCTGTGTTTTCCCCACAGAGGAGATGTTTCAAAGGACAACAACAAAGAGTGTCTCAATGGAAATACATCCATTCCTGATGTAGGATACAATCTAACTTTCAGGAGTTATGCTTTGGCCTTTTTCACAAGTGTTTGTGCAGAAGGGGAAGTGGAAGCTGTATAAATTAAGATGGGTAGGCCTGTAACAACAGATGGTGAGGTTGCCAGGGGAAGGAAAGCATTGACTGTATATTTCTGAAGCGGAGCTTACAAAAACATGGGAAAACAGTGATTTAGCGCATCTTCTGTCTTCATGGAAGTTACAAAAATCTTAGTGAACATTCCCCAACACATCTATTCTTGCTTCTTTACTATCTCTAACACAAGGAGTGAATATTTCATATCCCACAGAGCTAACACTATCTTAGTTGCTTCGTTCCCTCTCCACCCGCCAAAGGAGAAAGCCAATAAATATTGAATTATGTTTCATGGTCGCTTGAAGAGCCTAAGAGATGTTATATGACAGTTTCATTAGTTATTTGAAAACAGAATTAAGGCCCCACTTGGACTAGCCACTAAAGGGCTATTACATTTGAAAAACTGAGAATGCTCAGACACGAATCGTGCTTGAAGAATTATGGTTTTCTTTACAATTACGTTTTTGAGTTCAGTCTTGAAAGCCCTCAGAATTCACTGAAGCCAAAGGGAGTTGTTTGTAATTTGGGCTTACAGGTTTGACCACACTGTTTGAATTCTCATATGGATAGTGCAAATCCGTAGTTATATCAGACATAAGGCACACAATTTTAACTTTGAGGGTAATTCACCAAGAAAACAGCTCACTTGGTATTGTGGTGGATTCTCCAGCATTTGAAGTCTTTAAATCATGACTAGATTGGATTCTGAAAGATATTCCACCACAAATTGGGGGAATATCTTGGTCCTGCCTCAACATGGGAGAATGGACTGCATCATATCATGAGGTCTCTTCCAGGCCTACATTTCTATGATACTCTCTACGTTATTGGGTTCAATACAGGAATCATTGGGTGAAATATTCTATGGCCTGCGTTATGCAGCAGCTCAGTCTGGATGATCAGAAATGGTCCCTTCTGACATTAAACTCTATGACTCCTCCAAAGTGTTTAATTGGCTTGGTAAATTTAACCAGATTGAATCTGATGTTCAGTTTTTTGTCTTTTGACGTTACAGTATTGCACTTTTGTTCTCTCAGGTTAAATCTCCTGCAGGTCTTCTGTGTCTGTGGTGAGAAGTTTGGTTTTTTACTCGTCTTTCTCAGCTTTTTAAGTAATTTAGCTGCTCACTCTCATGAACTTTACCCATCCATATTTTTAAAATAACAATTATTCAAGCTTCTCTGCTGGTCCGTGCATTAGT